CCCCAGCAACCTCAAAACAAGTGTTGGATATTAGCTTTATACCATGCAAAGTCTAACAATAGAAGTCACAGAAGAATTTTGTGTGTCGTCATATGAGGGTGCTAGTGCTTTTGCTGAAGAGTCTGGCTTCTGTATAATGCCATGTTCCTCCTTGTGCCAGACTACCACTGTTAAAATCAGTGGCACACACTAGAGGAGGCTGTTGGCAGGTTGTTCTCTTTGTGAGCCTCCATCTCTTCCAGACCCTTGATATAAAGTGGCCCGAATCTGAGGAACTTCAGAGGGAGCTTCAAAGCCCACCTTTGCCTCTCTGACATTTGAAAATGGGCATAAAAATTAAGCATAAGGAATACTGCAGAGGAAGAGAGAAATGCAGTTTTTAAGTGACCTGGTCACTTTACTGGTTGTGGTTTATCTTTACTTTATTGCTCCCATTCCTGTGTATTTGAAGGTGCATATAGCATTATGGATGGATTCCTTTATGAGCATTTCTTCAACTAAAAGACTTGGCCAACAAACTTTCTAAGCTATTGCATTGCTCTTGCCTGCTTTTACACTTGCCACCTTGACATAAAGAATTATTATTTTGTGCCACATTTTCCAAAGAGCTGTATAAGTTCCATATGGGGTAAATGTGGGCGCAAAAATATTTTAAATACACAATGGATTAAACAATTTCAATGTACTTTCTTCTTAGAGGAAATGTATAGCTATTCTAGGCAGCCTGTTCATCACCTCCTGTGGTTGTATAGGGGTTCTGGGAGGGAGGTGTCTGCAAGGGTTTTGTTACTGTTATATTTGGATGCTCTGACACATTAGTATTTTATTAATGTGAAAAAGTAAGTTTGTAAGTGTTGGTAAATGAGGTCAAAAATAGAATTGCACCACAAAGGCACCTTTTTCATGCTGCTTCTCTTGGGCAAAAACACAATTTTTTCTGTCCAGGTGGATTGCTAATTTCATGCAGAAGATTCACACTTTGATGGGAAACTGGCAGATTTGTGACGACAAAAACAGTTTTTTGTTCCTCATTCTGCGAGAACTATACCATTTTTCTGGGAACTATTAAAAATTATTCCTCTTACCCTTCCCCCTCCACTTCTGCTGTATCTGGTAATGTTTTCTCATGGTAGAAATGTCTTGAGCTTCTCTGATAAATTGCTTGTTGGAGGTAACCATTTTACAAAATCCCCTTAAAGCAAAGATGCTGCCTTTTACTGCAGAGGTAGTAGTAAAGTAGAATTAAGGCAAAGATTGGGTTTATAAATCACCTACCTACCCACACGACCTACCCTTTACCCCCCTCTTTTCTCTTTCCTCTCTCTCTTTTCTACTTTTTTTCTCCTTTCTCTTTTCTCCCTCCCTGTTTCCTATTTCTTTTCTCTCTTCTTCCTCCTCCCCATTGGATGCGGTTGTCTTTGCCTGCGAAGGACAAACAACAGTAGTAAAGGCAGGACCCTTGGTTTTATTTTACAGTAGGTTTTATACCGTGCCTTAGAAGCCTCCTTAAAGCCTTGTTGCAGCTTACAGCTTGAGCTGCACAAATGTTGATCAGTGTTAGTGCTAGATTGAGTTTGGAGCAGTCACATTTCAGGGCAGAAGGGGCGTGGAGTAAGAATCCCCCTCTGGCCCCCCCACTCCCATTCCGGGCTTCCCTCGTGCCTCCCAGGGCTCCCACCCTCTCCTTGCTTACTTGCAGCTGTCCACGCTGTCTGTCTTGGGGAGCAGGCAGGGAAGGGTTAACCTTCCTGCCCAGTCACTGCTGCCAGGCTGCTGCTGTACTCCAGGCTGAGCCTGCTTAGAGAACAGTAGCTGTGGTGGTGGCCTTTTCCTGCCTGCTGTCCCAAGATGAATGGACAGCGTGGGCAGACACAAGTAAGGGGGAGGTGGGGGATTGGGTTAGGAGGGCAAGTGAGTAGGGTGCTGGGAAGGGTTTGCGCGGGGGGGCAGTGGACCTGATCTGGGCCAGGAGGAGAGGGTAGGCAGGTGGAGTGTTTATCAGGGATCAGAGTTAATCCTGCTCTGGAGTGGTGTAACTTTGAGCTGCATAACAGGTACTTAAAACTTGTTCCAGGTGTTAATGTGCAGGCAGTTCAGGTGTTAAGAGCCCCAGGAGCTGCCCAGAATTACCGTGGAACAGGGGTCTTGGTGACTGCAAACACTTTTGAGATTCTCAAATAGGAAATACCGTGCCAAATATTACCAGTCTTCAAAAAGTATGTGTAGGGTGTACTCATTGCCCATTGCAGCCTAAGAGCTTTCCTTTTTGGGGCCTTGGAAGAGGAAATTGCTGGTGAAGGTGTGCTGACTGCTTTGTTTATTCAGTATTGTGCACAGGTGTCAATTTTGGTACATCACAATTCTATGTTTTTGTTTGAAATGATCTGGGCTTTAAGTGACTGCAGGTCACTTATAATCAGGGATTCTGGTTTTCTCTGATTTAAAAAAATCCCCAATTTTTGGTTAAAAACAGTAACCCCAAATCCACATCTTTCCGTGATTAAAACAAGACACCACTAATATCTATCTATCTATCTATCTATCTATCTATCTACACACACACACATACACATATATAGATATAGATATCTATATATTAGTGGTGTTTCATTTTAATCATGGAAGAATGTGGATTTGGGGTTACTTTTTTAACCGAAAATTGGGAATTTTGTTTTTTTGTTTTTTAAATCGGAGAAAACCAGAATCCCTCCTTATAATCAGGTAGAGGCTGCTAGGAGCCAGCTCAGTTAGTTGGCACTGTTCACTGGTTAAGTGTGTGGAGCAGTGATTTAGAGCAAATGCTTTAGGAGCATCTTCTGTTCTCCTGCCTGAACACTGGGAAATTGCAGGTAGCAGAACCTATCTGCAATCCTTATAGGTTTACTGGCTTTGAGATCTTCAGGGAATGCCCTTGACCAAAGTGAATCAGTCAACCAAACCAGGAAATGGTCTAAAACACAAGACCCCACTATAAAACCAGATACTGTCTGAACTGAGCTTCCCTGGACAAACAGATGGCAGACACATGACATCATGGGGGCTATCGGCACAGTGGCTGCTTTGAGTGTGCCCAGGGTGTCTGGTCACATGATCCCAAAATTGCATTCCTGTCCTGAACAAACTGTGGTTCTACCAAGCTCCTCTCTCTCTCATTATGAATCAGTTTTGAAGGGCTGATAAGGGCTGGCCCCCCAAATCAAAAAGTTAGGAAGCAAAAGTTGAACTCGGAGGCTCTCCTCCAAAAGTGATCATGGAGAATAAAATTATATCAAAAGAGAACAAAGAGAGGAAATGGTTTTGAAATACCAGAGGCCTCATTAATATTAGCATGTTAACTGCAAGCCTTCATGCACAATGCGGTGCAGGGGTTTTTTTTTTCTTTTTTTATAAATAGTTTATGTGAATCGAGGGCAGCCAGCTGGCTACATATCAGGAGGGCAGACCAAACTCTTACAGTCTCTGTTCCCTGCTCTGCAAAAGTCCTGGCTGACTGACAGCATTGTTGTTCAGCTGTTTGGCCATTAAGACATAACTGGGTTTCCCTTACATCAGCAAAGATTCATTGGAGAAAGAGAACACTCAGTGAGGTACATAATTTCCCCTTCTCTCCACACACCCCAGACAGCTCAGGATTGTTCCTTTAGGATGTATTCCCTTGCCTAGTTCCACCCACTCAATAGTGACTCAAGCCATGGAGCTCCTCACCCCAATTCCTTTGGGACATCGTTCCACAGTCTCTCAGATCATGCTGCTTGGAAAAGTTTCGTTGACAGCTCAGCCTTTGCTCTCACTTGTTCCGTATCTGCACCATTTATTCTTTATAGTGTCCTGCTCCACCAGAGATGCTTCTTTCCCTCCTGTGTGGCTTCTGCCCTTGAAATGCTGTCTAAAGTGGTTGAGGTGCATGAGTATGTTTGTTTTGATGATCATATAGGAGAGACGATGTTTAGCCCTTTGTTTGCAAATAGATCCTGGGTTTGTGAAGAAAATGCATCCCTGGTGCAAGAAACAGAAACCTAAACAACCTGTTCTTATCTTCACTGTTTTTTCCAGTGAGCCTGGTAAGAGGAAAGCTGTACACTGACAGCTCCCTGACTGCATTTCCCTCTGCTGCTGTGGTGAACACTTACATCGATGAAGAGCAGCAGAGAAGATGCTGGTGTATTGATTTGGGAGTGTGCGAGTGAGACGGAGTGAATAGGGCTTGCGTTGCCTGGACATGACAGCAGAGGAGGGAAGATTATCTGGGGTTGTCATGTAGGCAGATGTTTTGGAACTGGTAATGCTTTTCTGCCAGCTAAGACCCAACGGGAAGAAAACAGCATAGTTTGACGGATGCAGCACAAAACATAATACTCAGCTCAGGTAAGGCCTGCCTGGCTTCCGTTTTGCATGGTTTTTCTTTGCCATTTTTTCTAAACTGTGAGTTTGGTACTTGTAAAAAAAAATATAGATGAATTCCATCATACTGCAGGATTCCCCCAGACATTAGTACTGCTGTATCTTCCTGCAGCAGTCCTTGCTATTCTGTCCGTAGGTCTCCCAAGACATTTCTAGCTGGATCAAACTATCTTGTGGATAAGTGTGTATTGGCATGAGACCATCACACTAACTTTTACTTGTGACCTATTCCTGGGTTTGAACTTGCACTTCCAGGGACCACCAACTCCCTGCCCCATCCAGTATGTATTACAGAAAATATGAATACACACATTTACACATACAATCTGTGCCTGGCATTTTTGTGTGTGTCTGAGAGGAACACAAATCTCCTTGAAATTCACTTATTAGCCCCTCAGAAGTTTTTAAAAATCACATCTGTACCTTCCCTAGGGTGTAGTCAGATGTAATGCTTAAAATAGTGGTCTCAATCTTTTGGAAATGCAGACCAAATGAGTGGCCCAGAGTCCATCTGTGGGCTCAATTGGGCCCTGGAGCCCAGAGCTGTCCCCTCCCTGCTCCATACTTGCCAGCACCACCCCTTTCCAGTCCCCTACACTGAGATTGGACCCTTTGGGCTGGTGTCACCCTTGCGTGGCCCTATGCCAGGTGCGGGCAATTATTTTGGGCAGAGGGCCGCTTACTGAGTTTTGTCAAGCCATTGAGGGCCGCATGACAGGCAGCCCAGGGCAGATAAATATTAATTTTCTAAATTTTTTAGGGGCCCCATGGGCCGGATAGAATGGCCCTGGCAGGCTGCATCCAGCCCCCGGGTCGCATTTTGCCCACCTGTGCCCTCTGCGTTGCTACCCATGGGCACAGAGATTTGGCAGCAGGGGAGTGGTGCCACCATTCTCCTACCACCAAATTCTCTGACCTATGGGCAGCCCCAGATGACATGACACACCCTGGCGTAGAACATTCGAAAAAAGCTTTAAACCCCAAGAGTCTAGATGTGCATGCCACTTAAGACCAGTTTAAACTTCCTGGAATGTTTCAGAAGCACACCAGGAAAATCAAGTTCTATTTTGAGCTGATCCTCCTTGAACTTGCTCAATGTAATGTGTGACCACAGAGCATTCTGTGCCTAGTGTCTGGTCAGGCCTCCAGGCATTCCAGACTGCACTGCTTCTCATCATCCCGCTTTTCCACACCTTGCAAAATGCATGCAGGGCAGCTGGGCTCCTCTGGGATGTAGCCAGGACTCTACTGCCCAAAGATCAATTTCTATTGCCTACAGAGACCAGTAGTTTGCAGGGGTGGGGAAGCAGATAGCCTGTGTTGCAGTTTCTCTTCCCTGCTAGGGACCCTGGGCTAGGGTCCCAAGCTCATTTGGGGTGGGAGTGGGGTAGCCAAGTGCTACAGGGGCTGTGTGGCCCCCCTGCTTGTGGTGGTTGGGTGGTGTGCTCCTAACGGTAAACACCTGTTAATTGCTGTGTGGTGGGAAACACCATCGCACAATGGGCACTTACTAGAACAGAATGGTTGTCAAGTCCATGGTTGATCAGTGTGAAGTGAATTTGATCAGCGATTCTCAAACTTTTTTTTTTTTGCGGACCACTTGAAAATTGCTGAGGGTCTCGGCAGACCACTTAATAAGCTTTTTTTTGTTCTACAGATCAAAGCACACATCTCATATTTTAATATCAGGAGTCTTACTTTACAAGTACAGATATTCTCGCTTGTTCTGCAACCTTTCTGTGGACCCCCTGAATGGAGCTCGCAGACCAGTGGTGGTCCATGGACCATAGTTTGAGAACCTCTGAATTAGAATATTAACTGTTAATTGTTCCTCAGCCTCTGTGCAGACAAGGTTCTTTGGGTAGATGTGATACCGTCTCTTTTATTAGACCAACTCAACCTCTGTGCTGCACTCCTGCAAGCAGCCCTGCCTTGCAGGTTCCATCCTGCACACACAGCTCTATGCAGTTGCTGACAATGCAAGGGACTTGAGCAGCTTTCTAGGGA